TTTTCTACTTCACCTATAGCCGTTTTATTGCTTCCCATTTGCCCTTTCCATTTCCATTTCCATTACCAACAACAGTCTCAGCCCATTTCCTTTGGAGGGTATTTCCAGGGTTAGCCGCCCAGAGCCTTCAACCCCACCCTGCCAGTCATTAATCCAGAGGAAATACCCAGTGCTTAGAATAATTATTGCTTAAACAGAAGCAAAATAGACCGTCTCCGTAAACAATATCGGGCAATTCAGGATCAAGAGGTTCTGAAATAGGTGGGGTTTATCATCATGGCAGTATGGGCTTAAATTTGCAGACTGTCACACCACTGCAAGCCTTTTAAGCCTCTCTCCCTCTACTTAAAGGATGTATAAAGAATTTCCACCTACTGTGATTTTTTAAGCTGCATAATGCCATAAGATCCTGCATGGTAAAAGAACCCCCTCCTTTTTTAACATTTCCATATTAATGTGAAATCATATCACATGAAAATTTAATTTGGAAATTTATCATTTAAACTTTGAAAGGAATCCATGGAAAATTGTGACTTATAGCCTATTTTTTCAATTCAGAACAGATAAAATCCCACATATAGCAGGCCAAGTCATGCATTATTACTTAGTTCAGGTTTTCAATAGCACTAAATCACTTACTGCTCTGTAACTATGCTAGAACAAAGACAAGCAACAAGCAGATGATGTGTTACACTGAAATCAATCACACACAACTAAGTTCAAATATTTTACCAAACAGGGTCAAATTATATATAAATGATTTGGAGACTTACAATGCCGCAGACTATTCACTGCTGGAAACCAACATACATCTTGAAATTACAGATTACTTCCAGTTTGCTAGTAATGTCCGATTTAATCACTAGTGGAATAGCAAAGGAGAAATGAGAAAAAAATGTATGTTGAAGTGAAAGTTGCAAAGTCCTCAATTGTAAATTCCAAAACCTCTTAAAGCAAATAGCAACTCGCCTGTGATTTTTCAAATGTGCACCTCTTGCAACACACAGAAATTTAATGTTTGATTACTGAAATGTGGCAATAACAGTTTTTCCAAACCCCGACTAGGATCCTTACCTGCTCACGGGCGCTGGCATGCGCATGGGTGTGTACTTTTTGTATTCTTTTTACGGCATGATCCTAGCAGTAGTATGACAATACATCACCTCTGGAAAAAGTCCAGCCTGGTATCAATAGGGCCTCACTGTGGAGCCTCGCCAATGTCAATCAAACATTCTGCTGACATAAAAGTTACACCAATGTAGAGCTGGCACACCACCAGGTTCGGTTCTCCAAACTTCAGCTATTATCATGCACGTATTTAAAAAGGCTCCAAACATTTACAGGAGTGCAAACAGTTGTGTATTAATCAGGCGACTGAGAAAGGAGCAGGTTATTCCTTTAGTTTCAAATGTTGTATTGTAGGAGAAAATAAGCAATAACCATAGGAAAAAACTACAGTATATGTTGCCAGGCATTTAGAGTGGCAACTGACGCGTGTTGAATGAAACACTAAGGATATGCTTTAATTTCACCGTGTGGTAAAAAAATTATCTGAGTTTTCTTAACCACTCATTATGTATTTTATGTAGGTTCGAGCTAGTGCGATTGCTCAGGATGCTGATCAGAACTACGACTATGCCAGTAACAGCGTGGTTCTTCATTTGGAGCCAGGAGACGAAGTTTATATTAAATTAGATGGAGGAAAAGCACATGGAGGCAACAACAACAAATACAGCACATTTTCTGGATTTATTATTTATGCTGACTGATAATGAGTAAAAAGACCCACCAAGCCAGTCCAAAAATGAAGCTTGCTCTTCTAGGCAATGGATTTGCGTGGCAGAAGTCAATGAAACAAGCACCCCAGCAGAGAGCGACCACTCAACACCTCAGTAGCGGGGGAAAAAAGTCGAATGCTACCTGAATCACATCTGTACAACACAGAGAAACCTTATGTTAAAAAGCTACAAAACAAGTTAAACAGATGTGCGATCCTCTACCGCCAAAGCAAATACTTCCTCATCGTTAGTGTCCATGTGAATGAAGTCCTGCATAGATCGAATTTTTATAGGAAAACAACCCCACACCTAAGGACACTGAGTTGTTTCTTCAGTGTATATGATACTTTGATGTGTTATGATCTTGCTGCTTTATCCATACTTCAGCTTTGGTTCTTGTGACTTACTCGCTAACAATGACGCTTGGAGTCCTCTCATAGTGTGGTGAGGAATGATTTTACAATAAAAGGAAGAGGTAATCAAAATATACTTTCTCTCTCCAAAGGAATTGTTTGCCTTGTACTTTTCTTATCCTTCCACTTAACACTAGAATCTAATCAGCTTCAAGCCTTAACTCAGTGTTCCTGCTTTGTAGGTTTACATTAGACTTTTAACATAAAATCAATGCAGTGGAGTTGTTTAAATTTTGTCTTCCCCTTAGCTGTGTTCTAAAAGAAAAAGGAAAAAAGGGTAGAAGAAACACTTTTTTTTTTTTTTCTGGAAAACGTAACGGTTGACAAACTATTCTATTGGATCAAATCCCTGGCTCCACCAAAGCCAATGGCAAAACTCCCACTGATGTTAGTGGAAAAAGGATTTGGCTTTTAATCTGTAAACATGTGTAAATATATATTTAGATGATACCACAGGCCCATTCCTGACGGTTAGTTGTGTAAATATTTAGCAAGCCTGGCATCCACATCCTCAGACTAAGGTAGAGTGTTTTCTTTGCAGCAATTAGTCTTCATTCGTCTTTTAGCACTTAGTCTGTACTTGGGTATTATTTTTAATAAAATAGTTACGACTTAACATACTGCAGATGTTCAATTAGAATTTCGTAGGAATATAATGGGTCAAAACCATATTTGTTTTAGGTGTCTTGTCTCACTGCAGTTAGTGGGGTTATTCCCACAAAGGGAGAGTAGGAGATCCGACACGTGAGAAGATGTTGTCACACAGACTTTTTCCATGGTAGCTAGTTACCAGTCTGTAGTAAGGTGTGCCTATGGAATGGACACAGATAAGCATATTACCAAAAATGATAACACATATGCAAAGAAAGAAGCAGATATTTACATGCAAAAAAAAGTGTGTATTAAACCCTATTTTTCTCATTCATATATATATATATAGATATATATATAAAAAGTCTCAAAGAAGTTTAATCCATATAAAGGATTAATGGCTTGGAGAAGTAAATTAAACACAGGTACTATGAGTTACATAGTTATAAAAACGCTTTAAAATCAGTCATACCAGTAGTATCCACAGAGTATTTTTATTCAGAAATGGATTTATCATTTGCTTTGTTTTTGGGAGGGGAGATTGTCTAATTCTCTCAGGTTAAAACTTGCAGATTTCATTCTGAGCCTAAATTTTAGCTAGCTAATTAACTAGCTCCTTAGCACAGTTGGTTATGTAATTTATTTTTAACATTTTGGCAAAATCAAGGTATCGTTTCTATAAATTGTTAAAGAGTTACAGAGGCTACCCATAGCATTTCTGTTTCATGTAATTTCCCACAAGCAACCTTGTCTAATGTACTAAGGGTACAAACTCAGATTTATCTGTACTAAAATGTCGAAAGTGTCTGCCACTGTGACAAAAAGGCTCTTCAGTGCTGGCTGCTCAGTAAAAGTCTGATGAAGATTTTATGCATATCTCTCAAAAATCTCTTATTTGAACGAGTGAAGCTTTTCTTAAGCAGAATACATTACCTTTTCTGTTTTGAGTCGTCCGATTCAAAACAAATGCCGAGTTGGTCTAGACTGAGATAATCACCAGTCTAACTCATCTAGGATTGAGAAAGGGACATTGTGCTGCCAGTTGCTTGTGTATTATCTCACCAGAACGGTTAAGGCTTTTACTTTATGACAAAGTGCTCACTTTGTACACTACATTGTAGTGATTACTCCTGTTTTGTTTTTGTTTTTGTTTTTTCTATGAGGTAATGTATTTTAATAACAGATGTGTAACTGACTTCATGTCTGTTCATTCCACTATCGCTTTTATTGGTCAGCGTGCTCGCAACGGCAGTGTAGCTAGAGACTTTCTACGTAGTATCAGGCACTATTATACCAAGGTAGGGATCGTGTACCACTAGGAATGCGTATTTACCAAGGTATTTATTGGAAAAGCTCAATGCTACAAGACGTATATGGTCAAATTTGAAGAAGCTTTTGAAATCAGGCTGCCACTGCTACTGAATAAGACCATTTTTTTGGATAAGTCACCTGCCCTGGTTAAAGTTAGACAAGAGCAAAGAATACACTTTATGCGAAAAACACATATAAGGCAAACATTTCTTCCTTTTTCATCATATCTTGATACGCTGATTTGTAAAGACTTATATCACAACCTTTGTTATAACTATTGCAACTCATTAAAACTGTATTATGTAATATATTTTGACTTTTGGTGTTGCATCCTTACAAAAAGAAGCTGGTTTGCAGGAAGTTCCACATGATTGCTGTGGGATTCCAAAGGTTCAGGATAAAAAAATTAATGCAATTAAAAGAAGACATACTGCACATAGTTTAAGAGGTAATCAAATTGCTTTATTCAAAAATATACTTTTCCATGTATTTTTTTACATTTTCAGTTAAAAATACGGAAATTGTTTAACTAGAAAGAAACAGTATCTTTTTACAATTATTTGAGATTTCTTTTGCCTTCTGTTGTCTATGGAAGCTATATAAAAGTCCCAGATCTTTTATCAAGCACTATTTAAAGAATATAAGGACATTTAGAAGATTGTCAATATTACAAGGATTAAAATAACCCCCTGGAGAAGGGGAATTTAATTGAAAACCATAATTTCCTTCAAAGTCCAGATGATGCATCTTCAAAAACATTTTTGGGTAACTTTTATTAATAGTATTATATTACTCTCTAGAAACAACTATTTTAACATTTCACTTGAAAAGATTTTGCAGGTAGGCTCATAGCAGTAAATCATTCATGAACCGACTTTTAGAAGGGAGAAAATGCAGAGAGAATACATAATTTTGTTGTTCTAATTAAAAATAAAAGAATCAGTTTGTTCATATCTAGTTAATAACTTCCAGTTTCTCTGAAAAGAACCAAATTTTAAAATCACTGCCCTCCTGAAACAAATCTGAATTTTATCAAGCCTCCTTACAAAATAAGAATATTTATTCATTATTCCTATTTAAAAGTCAACCACCGCTTTGGATTTTCTAGAAGTATTTTATCAATTTTATCTTGGGATATGCCTCTAATTAGCATTTTAGGAACTATATTTTTAAGGATATGTGAATATCCATGACCTCCATATTTCATCAACCTATTCTTAGTGTGCACATCATGAGCCATCAGAATTCTGTCTTCATAGCCTTCATCGATCAGCGTACGAATCCTGCAAAAGTAAAACGCACACCCGTCAGTGAAAGGTTCTCACTCTGCAACAGCACAGAACTGAGCAGGATTTACAGTTCTTACATTACTGTATTGCTAGACTGTATTATTACTGAAAACAATTATTTTTAGGTACTCAGAAGACATATTCCTTATATTTAATTGAAATTAAAACACATATTTTATTGAATGAAAAAAACACCCCAAAAAACATACCATCACCCATCTCAAAGCAGAGAAGGAAAAACTCTTCCCAGCTGGCACTTGACTTTGCATTCTCATTCCCACTAAGTCCACAGAGGAATTAAAGATCTTAGCATCACTAAGCATGGGACACTGGTTTTATATACATAAGTAATAATCTCCTGCATAAACTCCTCCTCAGCACGATCGATTCATGGGATTAGTTCTTGCTACTGACACAAAACTGGTCCCACTATGTTTGTTAAGGAGCAGGCTCTCTCTGTGTGTGACAGGTCCTGTAAGAAGCTTGTCTCATTTACACAAATACTTTCACATCTTTAGTTACTTGCCATTTAGCAAACCAGGTTAATAACAATTTTAAGTTGTCAGCATCATATTCCATATAGACAGCTATCATCCGAACACATTTTAAAGACGTTCATTAAAGAAGAAGATAAATAAGAGAGGCATTGCACAGTGCTAGCACATGCCAAGAAACAAGAGGAGTTAATACGGCAGCTCAACTAAGCAGACTTGGCAAAACGACAAGTCGTCAGCTTGGAAAAAGAAGTAATCCTTCTGGTCACTCCCTTGTAACCAGTCTGCTACAACAAGGCCTTCTGTTCACGTTTCACTCTGGGAACCTTAATCCTTCCCTCAGCTCACTTTTTAGAATTTATTTGGTGGGTGTCTGTATTGCATGACTGTAAAGTTTCCCACTAAGCTTCGGTCTAGTTTGGCAGTAGACTGCAGCATTAAAGTGGCAGAGACAGAGAGACCAGACCTGGAAAATGCTTGTTCCTCATGAAGGCACCCAATTCCATCATTTGCCAGCACTGTGAATTCTGATTTTTACCTTCTTGACTATGCTTTGACCAGAAAGAATGCAAATACTAGTTTCATAAGTGACCACACTATATCTGAAAGACCTTACTGTCAGTTTTTATTACAATTAGTTATGAGGAGATGCATGTAGCAGGTTGAAATCAACATGGGCAGCAGGAAGAATGCAAGCAAGATGGAACTTGGTAAAAAGTTAGCATCTTTCAACAGAACACCATAAATAGTGTCATATAGTGCAAACCACCATGTATACCGTAGTATTACAACATCACAAGTATCTTCTCCAGCCTGAAATAGAGAGGACACAACCTAATCAGAAAGTAAGAGCAAAGACACCCGAGGGACTAAGTTCTTTGCTAACCAAATATCGTCTTAGAATCATCTCCTTTTATATTTGGACTAATTTCACAGGTTGGGGAGGCGTATCGTCCTTTATATTCCATATTCATTGCTGCTTTTTGCTCATTCATCTAAATTTGCTTCTGCCTCACAGAAAAACTGCCCCTGAGAAGATTCAGTTTTTCACTTGCGTTGGCAGTAGGTTGCAGCAAAAATGCTTAAGCACACACGCAGCTAAACTGTGTTTAAGCAGGAACGGCATGACTACAGAAGTCTATGTTTTGAGTAGACAAGACCTGAACATATATTTTCCATTTAGTATTTTCATCAACACATTTAAAGGTCAATTCGATTTCCAATTCTCTAGTGCTGTTTGACAGAAAAATAACCCCAAGGAGATTGCCACTCCCATCCTATGTCCAGTGTGGATGCATCAAAAGCCCAACAAAACCCATTTAATGGCACTATACCATGAGAAGACAAAATTTTCATATTTTCTTCCTACAGACAGCCTGCTGCAAGAAAAACTCAAATGCCAGAGAGTTTAGAAGAGACATCGGTGGCTGAGCAAGTATCATGGATGGAATGAAAACTGCCACGGTTGAACAAACACTTGTTAACCAAGGCACAGTCCATTCCTCATGGTGCTTCTGTACGTGCTGACCTTCCGTGGCACAGGAGAGGGGAGGGGGCACAGGGAAGGGGAGCAACTTTACCCATTCTAGATGTGAAAACTGCAGATTCATTGCAACACTTTAAAATACTGAGTGCAAGACTGAGAGTCCTGTTAAGAGAGAGAAACGATTTCTAGTGTGAAAAGCAGCAGCAAACACTTGGCAGTAAGCGGAATAGTAGCCATGGCACCTAAAGAAGAGAACAGCCTCAAAACAAACAAAGGTTTCGTTGAGGCTAATCTGACAATAAGGGGCAGGGAAGCTATGCCTGAAATATAAGTGAAAGCTAGAAAGTTACTTCATTAGTGATCAGGGATCATAAAATCTTTCTCACCAGAGAGAAGGGAAAAATTTTTTCTGACTCTGGAAGTAAAAAAGACACATGCAGGACAGCACCCCATCCCTCAGAAACCTGCCACTTCACTGCACGTGAACACTGTGGACAAACAGCACAGGAGGATCTCATCTCCAGACAGAGCAGACGAGTTAGAAGCTCATGCCCAGCTGATCCTACCTCTCTCAGTTTCTGCAAGGAATGCATCTCCTTGGCAATACCTGGGGTTAGCACAGCACAACAGATCTGCTGTGCAGCTGAGCTGAGACTGCAGGTGAGCTGATGAGAAGCGGGGAAGAGGTATCCTACCAGTGGGGCCAATATTTTCTCATTGTGAGTGTGAGGAGCATGGGAGCTCTGAGGAGACAGAAATCTCATCCGTCAAAAGACAGAAAGGGCAAAAGGAGACGGGGAGGAGAGGTGACAAAGTGCTTGGAAGAACAGAAGTCTGGTTTTCAGGACAGAAGCACAGGATCAAATCCACCCAAGACAACCAATGAGTTTTGCTCAATTAGTGCATTCATGAGGAGATGTAACAGGCTCAGACGATGCTTAGTAGCAACACTAAGTTTCCAAGACTATGCTTCAAACAAACACCAGACCCTAACATAAATCCAGTATCTTACATCTTCCTTTGCAGATAGAAGAAATGATACATGCTGCCCTAAAGAAGTGACAGCAGCAAAAAAGAAAAAAAAAGCCATTATTTTAGTATAAAAAAGACAATTTTGAACAGCAAGCAGAATTACTCTATGATGCCCTTAAAACAAGTACCAATAGTACTCATTTGTCAATGGTAACACTATAGCTTAAACAGCACGGAAGAAGATACCTTGCAATTCTTTCGTTGTCACTAGGCATGTCGATATCAGGATGGAACTGGTAATGAAGAAATTCTGTACCAAATAGGTCATATTCTAGATAGCATCCTAGTTTAGCAAATTCCAGAAGTTCCTTTGTATCAAATATAGTCCTGCAGAACATATGTAACACAAAATCAGCATTGTAACAGGAAGAAAAAAAAGCTCATCGTACAAGGAAAGGTTATTTTGTGACTTCCTACTTGCAAGGAACAAAAAATATAATCTAAGATTTAATTCACCCTTTTGAAAAACAGGACTCCTGTTTGACACATGCACCTTAAGCTGATACACAGCATTGTCTTTCACACATTCATCAGAGACTTCATGCATTAAAAAAAACAAAACGAACCCAAGTCTTCCCCCAGGAAATATTAAAAGCATTTACAAGAATCTTTAAATGGAAACAGGAAAATTACTTACTTTTGATATCACTAACCCTCTCAATAGACAACCTAACAAGGAAGGACATTTAAGGAGGTGGTTAATTCATAGTGACATTTAAAAAAAAGACAACAGATTACTTACACAAGACAGATTTACTTTGCCAAGAGTTACAGGAGACGGCTACATCCAGGGCTTGTTTCATCCATCACACCCCGGTAATACACAACTTTGTCTTTAGTTTCTATTCTGTACAGTGATGTTTCTGGATTGTCATTAGAACAGCAATATATCATTGTTTGCACTGGGATCTGGCCAGAACGCCTTAAGGAAACGCTCTCACCAAAATATATAATGGCACTGTGAGTACCTGGGACATGGGCTTTGCAGCAGATTGGAAAAGTGAAGGAACGAAGCTACTAAAACCCATCACTCATCTGGAAAAGAACGGCAACTGAAATAAGAGCTCTCTGGAATATTTTTTTTCCTTTGAAACACTTTTACCAAAAATATAAGCTATCCAAAGGAAAACAAAAACACTTTAATGATACATTGTAATTTTATCTTTATAGCCACAACACAGTTTTTTCATCTACGGAAAAAACAAGTTACCACAAGAACAGCACAGTTCACCAAAAGGGCAGTAGTTTAATTTTTTTAATTATTGCAGATACTGATGTCACTTATTTTACCCTATAAAATTACATCATAGTCTGTTGCTATGGAAATGACTGATTTCACAATTTCAATACTATGACTTAACAACAGGATCAAGTAGGAGGAACAGATGGGTTGCGAGAGAGAAACCCCTTGTTCAAACAAGCCTGCCATCAGCAGGAGTGTAAGACTTGCCAACTGTAATTAATAAAAAAATATTATTTTTAAATAAATGTTACAGTTTACACAGATTGAACATTTATCACCAAATGAGTTTTCAAAGTGCAGAGCAAGAGAACGGGTTATTTCAGATCTAGCCCTGCCCAGTTCACAAGGAGACAGTAGCCAAGAGTACTCGATGCTGTGCAGGTGGCACAAACGACTGAACTGTACATTTCAAAATGACAGCCAGAACAATTTCCTTTTAAAACTATTGTTAGTGTTGTGCTTTTGGGTGTTCTGTCCCAAAGAAGAGCAGGCGAGCTTAATTTCATCAGCCACTGGGTCCCCTTGTAAGCCACGTGGATGCGGCGGCAGCTCGAATTGCTAATCTCTGTGCTGGAATTAGGTGTTTGGGCAACGATTGTCCCTGAGCAGCCCGGAACACACAGAAAAGCAGACAGGACACAGGGAGGTGTCCTGTAGTTTGGACCTCACCCATAAATCCTCACAGGGACATTCACCAAGCCATTCTCAAACAGGCATTCATAACAGTTGCTATGAGCCTTCTAACAAAAGCTACTCAAGTGAATGAATGTTGATGTCTACCAAGACACCTTTTTAACCTCAATTTGTAACAACAGTCAAAGCCAAGACTCAATCCCTTTTGCTTCCCAGCCTTCATCTACACCATAGTTTCACTACAGACACTTGCTATCTTTTCTTCTAAGATGCATGGTAGCCAGCGTTTTAGTTTCATCATTTGACTGTAAATCCACCCGAAAACTACCATTCTGTCTATGTCAAAAGCAGACAGGAAATATGGAGCTATATACAAATTTATCCCACATTTAAGGGACTGGGACTCTCCCACGTAGCTTCTTCTCACTGGAGGAGACTTAAAATGTTAAGTGCACACTGCAAAGTCAATCTTCACAGTAGTTTACAGTCTATGTTACAGCAAGTGCCAACCCACATGTGTGAAAGTAATGACAGAAGGAGTAGAAGGAAATGTCATACTGTGCATCAGCGGCTGTTAGTGAAACTGCACCTCTGTCTTGATTATTTTCCTACTTATATTGCTTATTTACCACCAATAAATCACTGAATTAATTATTTACAACAATGTATAAAGGCAAAAAACCAGAACTGGATGTTTATGTAGTATCAAAATGGCTACTAAGTAATGACACCTGCAGCTTGCTCAGCCTCTTTCATACAAAGATTTCAGTAATCAGTTTTTCTTAAAAATGAGAGAAAAATATAGCTATAGATACAATGGAATGCAGGTAAATACATAAAGAAAGCCTGTATCATTTAGATATAATCAAATATAAATAAAATTTTGTGGCACTGAATTTTATGCTCCTAAAATCCCCAAGTAAAACATTGAGCTCTGTGTGAATACAAAACACCTGTAGCTTGATTTGCAAGCTTTTAGAGCATGCAACTGTTAGAAATTTGAAGCTCCGTGCTCTTGCCTGTATTACACTCACTGAGGGCAAACAATCCAATTGCTGAGAATCATATGACACAAACAGTCTCCGTTATTCAGCAACTGGCCAAACCAATCAATGCTTGAACATTTTCCAGCACACCATGAACAGCACAAGGTCACACAAAACTGAGGCTGTGCTTCTAAACTGGAGAGAGAAAAGCATTCCGATTCCTCTCCATGTCCAATTTGGGGCTCTTGGGTTTTGCTCTCAAGGATACTAAAAGTTAGGTCTCTGATCTATTTTCTTTTTAAGCCATATTTCTTCTGTCTGGTAGCAGAACTGAAAATATCTGGCTTCTGCTTTGATCTGGAATCCAGACAAATCAAGGAGTTCTCCATTAATATCCGAGAGATTTTGGTCAGGCCCTTAAGAGTGGCTCAGTTTTCAAAAATGCTGGAAGCCCAGCAGCTTCCCACCAATTTGGTGAGAGCTGCTCAATTTCCAGTGCTTTGTAAATGCAGTGATTTGTGCAGATATAAATTAAGGGAATCCCCATTTTTTAAAAACATGGCTATGGTTATTCCTAATCTCGCCCCCAGAACTTCAAAGAGAGCATTTAAAATCCCCAAATCTCTATCAATGTGAACGGAAAAGCTGATCCTGACTGAAGTGCTGGAAGCTGATCAAGCCCTATATAAGCAGTTCCATATTTTTAAGTCAGTCAACTTGAAGATAATTATTCACATTACGATCCCAGAAGACAACCGAAACCTAGCTATTTGCAGTGGGTTGTGGCAACACTGTCAGAAGGACAGCAGAATAAGTCTGCTTACCTGTCCAGGTGAGACATGACTGTCTTTGAAGCATCAGCCCCAGCTTCCTGCAGAATGCGGATAATTTGGAAAGGAGCATTGCTGTTCCTGCCAGGATGGATGATAATGGGGCACCCAAGCTGTGACTGAGCCTGTGCTGTTGCCAGAAGCACTCTGTGTTCGCTCTGAGTCAAAGGCCAGGAGCAACCTATTTCTCCCACCACACCACACTTGATGTTAGTCCCATCCGCTCCATTGAGTATTTCATCAACAATAATGCCTGTAAGCTAGAGAACAGAAAAATGAGATTTTTGGTTATTAATACTATTTGTGTTCAATAGCACCAAATTTGGCCTACGGACACTATGCTAGTAATACTCCCGAGGTCCTTCTGAACTTATTTAATTAACAGTTGAGCGTGTGAAAACATTGCAGTTAAAATCTGGTTTCTGACAACTAATATTATTCTAGCCATACACTACGGCTAAAATAAACACAGAAGTAAATCTCTTTAACAGTATCCACTCACACAATTGCCCAGGTTTGCTGGGAAAGCTGGTCTATACATAATTCGAGCACTGATTTAGGCTGAGACTAAATTTTCTTTAAAAAAAAAAAGTTAGTTCATCACGAAATCTGTGCCTCGCACTCCTGAATTGGCTCCATAAACAATTCAATGTAATTTCTTGCAACACAAGGGCTCAGAGAATATTGAAACCTTGTCATTCAGACAGGGAAGGGAGAAACTCTGGCAAGGATCCTGAAAAGACAAGTCTAAGGCAAATCCTGCTCGTGGGAATGCCAACGTAAAATGACAGGAGCTCCGCTGACTCAGAACTACAAGAACAAAGCTCAGCTGACAAACTTACAGGGTCATAGAATCATAGAATCATAGAATG